AACTTTCGGGTAAAGAACTAAGTAGCATCAAAGCCTGCAACTCATCATCAAAAACAATTTTCATAGAAGCAAGTTGGTTAACAATACTCTTTATTTCATTCAAATGTTCCGAAATGGGGCTACCATCTTTATATTTTAAATTAACCAACTTATGAAATAGAAAATTTTTATTTGTGGCTGATTTTCTATCATAAAGGCCTTCTATTTTTTTTTCATAAATCATGTACTGAAGTTTCAGTAGCAACATGATGAAACACACTATCATCAATCCATTGATGTATAACACCAACGGCTTTTTGATTAAGTCTATTCCATTCATCATCTTTCATACCCTCGGGTTTGCCAGAATCACCCTCAATGGGTCCATATAAATCTTTACAAAATAATAAGTCCTCCATTTTAGTTTTCCAAGTTACCCAATTGCTTCCATTGAAGCTAGACATACGACCCACATTCCCCTCCATTGATTTACACAAATAAATAGATCCAAAATAAACCGTAAGCTCTGAATCCATTTGAAACTAGCAATCAAGAGCACCATGATTATGACCTCCACAAATTTGACAACCAAAATATGAAGAATTGCTTGGTTATTCTAATATTAGTGTACTGGAAAGAGATCTTTTACAGGTGTTTATTGTTGTTCATCAAAACTTGGTTCAGGTATTTTCATTTGGGAGTAACCGCTCTGCACAATTTTCTAATAACTGGAAGAAAATTGGTATGCATTTCTGATATTAATTGTTACGTATATTTATTGTAGATGATGTTGTTTACTTGTGTTATATCTGTCTCTTTGCCCTCTTTTTTCACTATATTTTCTCTTTCTTGATATGTTCTCTGCTTGCCTTCTTTCCTTCGTTATACATATACTTAATATGTCCATGATAAAGATGTGGAACCTATATTTGTATAAAATGAATCTCTTTTCCATAGCTTGTGCTGCTCATCATAGGAAACCTAGTTCATTGAAAAAGATATAGGGTACAAAACCCAATAAAAGATTTTACTTTCAAAGTAAACTAAGCCATTAGGCACGAGTTGAACTTGTATTTAAATGAATCTTAAGTGAAATGATTTGATTACAATTTTGTGAAATAACAAACTAAAAACTTAATTTTTCTCATAGTCAAGAAATGTTTCTCCGACACAAGGCTGAGTAAACCTATTTACCTAATTAGTTTATTTTCTTTTGTAACAAAATAGGTCTAGCTGCATGCAAAATCTGATAACTCATTGAATCTCATTCATCCTATTGCTCTTCTTGCATTCAAGTATGTGGCCAGCATAAGGAAAATGAGCCGTAGCTCGAATATATTGGCTCGAATTGGCTCGAAAGTCCTCGCCTCCCTCGCCTCTTTGCTTTCTTCTTTTTTTCTCTTTTCCTTTTCTTGTTTTTCAATACAGAGAAAGAGGAGGGGAAGAGGGAATGGAGAGAAGAGAGGGCCCCTCCGCTTCCGCCGTCGGCCGATCGTCGCAGCTCGCAGCTCGTCGCTCATCCCTCGTCGCAGCTCGTCCGCCGTCGCCTCTGCCTCTTTCTTCTTCTTCTTCCTTCTCTTCTTCTTATTCTTCTGGTTGATGTTGGCCCCTCTACTTGTGTTGTTGATCATCTGGATTTGGGTTTGATTTTGGATTTTGGTTTGATTTCTCTGTCTGGTTTTGCTTCTTTTTCTTCTTCTTATGCCGCCTCTTTTCTTCTTCTTCTGGTTCTGCTTCACCTTCATCTTCAAAAAAATGAAAATAAATCTCCAAAACGGCGTGGTTTTGGATTCGAGCCAATTTCGAGCTCGACAATTTCGAGCTACGTAGCAGTTCCGGCCAGCATAAGGTTTTTAGATTTGGATGTAAAGTGGGAAGCCTTGGGATTTTTGGAATATGGATTAAATGATGTTGTATTCTATCATTTTAATTATTTGAGACATTTCATTTGTGTTCACTTTATGTTGGATAAGATGGAGAAATGGGAGCAGGTATTCCAGTTCCTCCTTTGCTTATATTCTTTCCAACCTTAAAATTTAAGTTACAGTTGGACTAAAATTAACTCTGAAAGCATCTAAATGTTCTCCATCTTCTTTAATCCATTTGTACTGACTACACCAATCCCAGCCATTGAATCAACAGCACTCCAGGATAGCTTTCAAAATTTCCAAACCAAAAAATCACGGCAATGTAGTATTGATCCAGAAAATTACAAATATTCAAAAGCATCTGTAAACACTGATCTCATACTACTGTTCAAAGCCCTAGAAAAAATAACTTCTTATTTCTAGCCTAAATCAACCTTAACCCTTTCCTCTTCTTATTGGCCCTCAATGGCCTCTCCCCAATTCCTTCATTTTAGCCACTAAATTACTCTCAAATAGAATCTTTTTTGAAAATCCAGCAAGCCGTCGTTTTTGAAATTCAACAAATTTTAGTTTTTTTTTTTTTTTTCCATTCTACAAACCCTAGAAGCTATCGTTTGTCTTTTTGGAACCCTAACACTAAAACATATTCCAGCCCTAAACCCACCGCAAACCCAAACAGAGGTGATTTTGCCATAATTTTCCTAAGAAGAGTACAGTTATTCAAATTTAATGTCTCCCAAATGAAACACAATTTGTATGTTATATTGATGATAATTTGTACTTTAATGTACATTTAACATTGACATGAGCGCTAATCAGCCTTTTGAGAACATGGCATATGACACCCAAACAAAAGGTGGAATATATATAACCATTAACCAATGATTTTGACATATCATATGTTGGTAGCCTTTTTTATAATCATTGAAGTATGTCAATAATAGTAAAAATACTAGGGAAATGGATGTCTCAATTTTTTCGTTGCACATATCAATCAAAATATCTAATGAGACTATATATTGTATGTCTATGGATAATTGAGATAATTAAGTTACTATGTGATGGTACATAGTTGAACCACTTGTTGCTCTTTAACACATTTCTTTCCTTTTTTGTAACTATCTTCAAGTTGTTCAATTTTGCGGTTGGAGCTTATTTATTTTCTTTCTCAATTTGTGGTTGTCATCATATTTATTAACTCATTTTATAACGAATATTTATTCATTTTATATGAAGGATTAAAGAAAGCATGTTTGATGTTTTTTTTTTTTTTGATCGACAAAAGAAAACTTTATTGATGAACCACATATAGATTACATATGATAGACAAACATCAATAAAGAGGGGCTTGGAGTTAGAAAAAGCTCCAACCTCCTAGTTGGTGAGAGGCCAACAACAAAACAAAGCATAAAAAGCGTCACCTAATTGACAACAGCAGCAGATAGACATGTAGCAGCAGATCAATTTCCTCTCTTCATAATTAATTTCCAAAAACAGCAGCAGATAGACATGCTCCAACCTCCTAGTTACTAAAATAGACATGCAGCAGCAGATCAATTCACACCCTTCCAATACAAAGCCTCATGAGGTATTGAAGACCATCACAACAACACTGCAGACCTACAAACTGTGCCTCCATCACTACTGCCAAAACAGAGATGCTCTGTCTGAAGAACATCACAAACTAAAATAAAACATGCAGTAGCAGTTAACGAGAAGCTCCAGACCAATTCACACCCTTCCATCACAAAGCATCCATTTGACAAAAGCACCCAAGCATCATAGCATCCATTTAACACATTACATGAAGCTAAATGCAGCAGCAGTTTATTTGTGGCCTTCACAACACTAAGCTCCAACCACCTAATTGACAGCAACACAACACCCATCACAGCATCACTGCTCTGCCAAGGCACAATCTGATCTACTTTATATTACAAATGAAATCATTGATTGTGAAATTAAAATCCTTCAGATGTGGGTTCATCCACAAAGCAATCCTAGTCTTAATCAGCTCACACAGCTCATACCAATTTGGGATACCAGCCAAAAAACACATTCATTTCTAAGTTTCCAAATTGACCACAACACAGCCAACGTAATGGCACACCAAATCTTTATTTCCAACCTCTTCATTCTCCCACCTGCCCACCATAACAATAGCTGATCCACAGATTCAGGTAATGCCCCCTGAGTCCCCCACTAATTCAGCAGTTCAGCCCATACACTCCACACAAAAGGACAGCAAATTAAGACATGATTCACAGATTCAGTGGCAGCCTTACAGAACACATACAAAGATGAGCCAGATACCTAAATCACACCAACTCTTTGAAGGATTTCAATTGTCGTGATTCTCTTTTTCCACGCTAACCTCCCAAACACTTGGACCTTAGGAGGGATAAATCTCAGCCACACCAATTTACAAATTCTAAGAGCTGGGCCTAAATTAAACACGATAGCATTATACATTGCAGCCACAGAGAACTGACCAGTCTTAGATGCTGACCAAACAGGTCTATCCACCTGGTCTAGACACAACGCAGGACCTGCTGCTAGTAGGTTTAAAAGATTTTGCAACTCCACCTCGTCCCACACACACAAAACTCTTCTAAATGATAGATTCCAAACCCCTACTGCATCTTTCCTATCAAAGATATCTCTCAATGTGTCATTTTTCTCCAGAGACAGCCTATAAAGGCCTGGAAACACATCTTTCAAACACAGTTGCTAACACCACTTATCATTCCAAAAGCTTATTCTTCTACCATCCCCAACCTTCAATTGGAAATTGTTCAAGAAGACTTCTAGTCTGTCTGATGATGTAGTCTGTCTAATGAGGATATTGACATGATATTCATTGATTTTGATAATATCATAACCTTAAAATATAGGTTGGTGGTTTAACCCAAGTTATAGCCTTTGAAAAAGTGGAATAGATAGGTAGAACTTTCATACCCACCCGAGACAAATGGCACAAAGTTTTGTTGAGTGGGATAAATTGAATTGAGTTGTGTTTGAGAGGGGGCGGGGGGAAACCTGAGGTGGTACTTTAAATAGTGTCTCACATATCAACCAAGGAGTTGAATGCTACTAAAGTAGTGCCCTTTTATATGGATGCCCTTGTCACCATTTGTCCATGGTTCTTGTATGACATCATATCAATTATTAATGTTCAATCCAACATCCATACACATTTTTGCTAGCTATTCTACAACATATAACAGAGAAGATATGAAAGAATTCCTTGGCATCACTCGGCTTTTTCCTTTAATTGGGAAAGAATAAACAAGTTGCTCTATTTTAATCCTAATACTATGATTTGATTTTCTAGAAGGATATAACTTGAGGATGGGAGATTATTTCATGCTATGGTGTTTGGCACAACAAACATAACATGAAATAAGGCAAGTAAAATTCTTGATAAAACTCAATGCATATCATAATTGGTCCACTTTGAAACTAGGAATTTTGAAATTTTTTAGGGTTCATGCAGAAGTCCATTGCCATGGAAAACCAACCTGAATTGGCATGTCACTGTGTCTCGTTATGCGTTTATGAAAATGTCCTAGAAGGGGGTGAATAGGACAATTCTTTTGCTTTTTCTTCACCAGTCCTCAATGACCAATCTCAATTTTTCTAACCATTCGGTATGTTTAAAACTTAGAAAGTGATTCAATGTGATAGAAAAATATCTATCAAAGGTTCAAGTTTTGTTTACCTTCTCGGTTAAAGTATCCATGGATCATCTAAACAACTGGTGACTTACAATGGGCACGTTAGTACCCACCTAAAGTCTCCTCACAAAGACAATCTCTAGGATTTGAAGAATGTTTCTCCTGGTCTAACCTAAAACCCACTAATCTACCTATTGTCTCCTATTCAAGTGTTACACTTGGATTTGATGAAGGTTTCTCCTAGGCTAACCTACAAGCTACTAATCTACCTAATATTTTGTCCTAAAGAACAACACTACGATTCTTTCTACGTTTCACACAAAGGGCTCACCTAAAACCCACTACTTCAAGTCTCTAGGTTTTCACTCAAGGGCTCACCTAGAACCCACCACACTGGGTTTTACAAGGTCACCCTAAGCCTCTTCCTCAATTCAGAATTCAACGAGTTTCTAGGGTCACCTACAATCTCAACCACAGTCCTTAACTCACAATGGGTTTTTAGGCTCCCCCACAACCTCTTTCACAATGCACAACTCACAATGGGTAGCCTACTACCACAAACTATAGTCAAACAAGCACTAACACTAAGAGTTTTCCAAGTCTTACCCCAACCTTTACAATTTACAAAATAAATATCAATGGGTGGTAAATGTACCTCAACAATACACTCATAGGAATAATTTATACCTTAAATTGAAGCCCAGAAGTTGTCCAAAGTTTGCTTTTCAAGATTCTCAAGCTTGGACCAGTTGTTGATAGTTAGCATATGATGAATACTCTTTCTAAGCTCTCCCAAATCTCTCAAGATATGTTCTCTAATGTATATAGGTAATGTTGGGTCTCAAATCATCAGGTTTTGGGTTTAAAATGAAAGAAACTTATGTATAATGCGTGTGTTCCAACAGCTAGATAATGACTAGTTCATTTTTTTCAAATTGCACCCAGTTTGGCCGGCCAAAATAGCTGGTCACTCAAGTCTGTTTGATTTCTTCCACCAGCAACATAGGGTCAACTTTAAAAGATTATTAACTCTCATTTTAACTCCGTTTTGAGTGAAAATTGTGCTCAAATTGAAACTCTGTAAATTTAGTTTCATTTGAAATTGGTCTTACTCAAGGATTTAAAATTTTAAACTAGAACCTAAGTTGTGGCCAATAAAAATAAAAAAAAATAAAAAATAAAAAACTAGATCCTAAGTTCTGGTTTTGGATGGCTAGGAGGTCGTACTTCATTTACCAAAATGGTCACCAATCTTGACCAGGACTAGCATAAATGTCTTCTAAAGTCAAGTCTTTCGCCTGGGTGGTTCTATATATTTAAGACATTTTGGTCTTCTTGTCACTTGGACATCCTTCTTTTTTATGACTTGAGTTCATCCTTCCTTGACTCTTTGATGCCTCTTTGAAATTGTCAAGTGCTTGAGGCTTGTATGAGTTTTCCCTTTCCAAACCCCTCTATGGATATTGGATTACACTTCACCCTTGCTACAAGTCATGAAATTGTCAAACCCTATGGTTCTAGACTTAACTGTTTCTCCATGTTATAGATTGAAAGTTAGCGTTGTGATTAGAAGCATCAATGAGATCAACATATTTAAATAAAAAAAAGGGCAAAATCCATTTTACTTCCCTGTGGTTTGGTCCAATAGCATAGCCCCGTCTTTTAAAAATAGCCAACTAACCCTCATGTGATTTTGGACTAAATTGCTTCTGTTACATTTTTTGTCTGAAACTAACATAAATTATACTACACGTACATTTTGAGAGAGTTGGGAAGAAAATTAATTAATTAAATTCAACTATTTAAGGTAAAAAGACAAAATCGCCCCTTTCATCATCTTTTCCACACAAAATTTTCGAAAAAAAAAAACCCCAAATCTAAACCTACCATCACTCCTCCACCATGCCAGACACCCCTTCCTTACTCTCCCACCTCCACTCCTTTCCACTTTCCCCTGCCATCCTTCCCACCTTCTAGATACCACCTCCCTCCTTGCCACCCAGCCACCGTCTCCCTCCGCTCAACAACTGCCCTGGCCACTGCACAAAATCCCCTATCACTGCAATGTAGTTGGTAGAATTTGCGATTCCTGCAAACCGAACGACAAAACTCAATCTTAACTTATTAAATAGTTCATATATATACACACTATATATACATAGAGACTTGGGTAATATGTAATCTTGTTTCTGTGATGAAGAAATAATATGATATTGAGTTTGATTTCGGTCCCTTTTTTTGAAATCGTAACGACAAATCTCAGTATTTGTATGAGATTCACCAACTGTCCCATGCTTCTACAGTTCTTCTATTGTTTAGCCATTTGTTTATTACGTTTCTTTTTTTGTTTAAACTTTTTTTTTTTTTTTTGCAAATTATGTTTTGCCTGTTAATGGTAATATATATATGTATATGAATATATTATAACTTAAGTTGTGAATAAATTAGTAATTAGGTTACAAATTTAGAAATTAAGTTAGAAGTTAAAAAAAATGAAGTTTCTTAATTGAGGCAAGTTTGATTTTTTTATTTTTACTTTTTATTCTTACACAAATAATGAGAAGCAGAGGAAGAAAACAAGGGTATAATTGTCTTTTTATCGCTAAAGTTAACAAAGTTAGTATTGCAATTTAATCCAAAACCACATGGGGGGGCTTGTGGCTATTTTTAAAAGATAATGGCTAAAGTGCTACAGGGACCATACCATAGAGACGTAAAATGAATTTTGCCCAAAATTAAAAAAAAATTAAAAAAAATTGGACCATTGATTCAAAAGAATGCCAACACAGTTATTTTTTTTTTTGCTGATGCAAGTTTGAAAGCAAAAGCATATGCATTTTGTCTTTTGTACTCGTGAACATTGAAAAAAGAGTTGTTCTGCTATAAGAATCTAAGTAACAAATTGCTTACCCTGGCTAATATTTGTTTTCTTGTATCATTCTTTATTCTTCTCTTTTGTCTTTTTCCTTTTCTTGGTTGGACTGATCAATTTGGTTCTATTTCATTTTCTCTATGAAGTTTTATGTTTCTAGATTACCTTGTTGATAGAAGTGGTTTTTGTTTTCGTTTCTGTGTTCAACTTCTCTGTTGGATGGCATAGCAAATACTGGAATGGTTGAACTTGGAGAAGTTCAGCTTGCTACTTACTTTGCTGAGAAGACATTTACAAGGCAGCATTCCTTTCAAAATGGTAAATAGTTTATCAGATTTTTTAAATTTCAATTTTAGAATAATTACCAAGAAACTAGAAAACTAAGGCCAAGTTTGGGAAGACTAAATAAGTGTACTTTTTGACTTTTTTTGTATTATGTGTAGAAAAAATAGAGAGGAGATGTTGATTGATGTGACCCAAAAAAGATAAAAAGATGAAATAAGTACACTTTTTTAAGTTAGCCAAACTTGGCCTAACTCTTTGCCTATCCACCTCCAAAATAGTTCATTGAGCAATCTTTGGGATTTTATAGCACAAAATCTCACCAAACAGCTATTGATCTCCTAAGCTATGGATAAAATATTTGCTCTTTTTCATATAATTTACACATGAGTTATATGTAATGTGAATGATTAAGCACTGCAAACTAAATTTTCAAAAAACTGCAAATGGAACCGCAAAAAGATAGGATTGCATCCTGACAAAAATGAATTGCACAAAGAATATACGGAGTTAATTGTGCGGGCTTGGGATGTAGAAGTATTTTTAGGGCCGAATTTGAGATGGTTAGATTAGGGCTGAGGTTGGGTGGGCCTTGGGATAATGCATATATTCTTACTATAAAGTGGAAGCCTGACCCAATCTAGTCAATGCCCACCCCTAGTAGAGAGTAAATCTGGATTTTATGACTGAAATGATTGTCACTTGATTTTCTCCCTAGTAAAAACTTTCTATTACTTTTTGGAATTTAGTCATGCTTTCAATTAAATAAATTATTTTATATTTTCTTGTTTGCTATTTATATATTGTTTGATTATGCTTGTTAAAGAGTTGGGAGAACCACTATTATTGTTATAGGCGCTTCACTTCTTCCCCTGCTTTAACTTCATTTGATAGGCTTACAGGCTTGCCTTCACTTATTGCATTTCCCTCTGGATGTAACACTGCAAATTGTCTAATTAGGTGAGTTTTCGCCTGAGGTTTAAATTTTGAAAGCTGGCCCCATGCTGCATTATGAGTTTTAAAGTCAACACACAAGCTTTATAACTTTGCACATTTCTATATATGTCCAATGCAATCTCTCTCTCTCTCTCTCTATATATATATATATCATGGGATTTGTCTTATAATTTTCTACTTGATGGATTCTAAAGGAAATTTTAACATCATTTTGATTGTTTTGATGCAGGTATAAGGGAGAGCTTTCTGTTGATGCTGTTACTAATTGGTTTGCAACCACGATCCTAAGTTTGCCTCGCATTCTATACTACTCAAAGGATTCATTGGTAATAAATAAACTCTTTCCTGGGTCCATATACACATTTTGTTACGACTAAATTGTGACGTAGGATAGTTTAGGAAACTTGCATGATGCTGTCTACACTTGAATTTTTAGTAGTTTTAGGGCCAAGAAAGGTTGTGGGTTTAGAGTTCAATAAGGTTGGATGGTTCTATTGTTTGCGACCGTACCAGATTATAATTATCTTGAATTTTGAAGTTAATTGGTGGAGAATAAGGTAGAAGGAATGAACTTTTGTTGGGAACGATTGACTAGGCCTGCATTACGTTGCAATGCTGGAATGGAATTTCATAGATTGATGCACTGAAAAAGCAATATGAAAAGAAATCATTATTTTGTTAGGAGTCTTTTCTGATAATTAGCATTTGATCAATATCATGCAATATTCTCTTGAATTTAATATTTGCATAATCATGACTAAGTTCATTAGTGGATGGGGACTCCAGCGTTTTTTTTTTTTTTCTTTTTTTCTTTTCTAAACCCTTCTTTTTGTCTCACTCATGCTCTCTATTAAACTGATATAGGTTTGGGTAAGATGGGTAACAATTTGACCATGTTCTTTTCACTTAAAAGGAGAAGGTAAAAGAATTTTTTATGGCTAAATTACATTGACCACTCCTAAGGTCTCATTGACCCTATCATATAAAAACTACATTGTCAGACTTTGTTGGAAACACTATTAACAGATGATGTCAATTTATTCTTAAAACTTTATGAATTAAAGCCCTTATTATTTCCTTCAATTTAGCACCCAAAACCTTTTTTTTCTCAACATAATCATCACAACCCTCTTCTCCAAATGAAACCTGAACAAAATCATCTTTGATGATTCACTTCCACCAACAGGTCCAAGACCCATATTTCTCTAGCAGCCACTTTCCCTCCATCTTTTATCTCTCTCTTTGATTTTTAATAGATCCACCATAATTTGAGCCATAATGAATCCGACGCCCTCCACCTTTGACAATGATAATGGGGTTGCTGTGTCCAATTAATGTATATGTAGAGAGAGAAGTTGTGGTGATAGATGATCTGGCTTAGAGTGACACATGTCACCATTTGGGCTAGTTATAACTTATATCAAGGGTAGAGTAGGCATTTCGAAATTTCAAAATATGATGTCATCATACTTCATTTTTATCACCAATGGTCAATTAGCAATAGGAGGAAATCTATTACATGATTTCCCAAATAGAGGGAGTCAGTGTAATTATTAATACCATAGGGTAGCAAGTGTATTAAAGCCAAACCTTTGGGGTGGACAGCATAATTTATCTTTAACCACTGGAGTTAGGCAGTGGCGAGAACCAGTTTACATCATTAGGAGGTTATGGTTTGATTCCCCCCTTTCCTCAAATGTACCAGGAGAAAAAAGAAAAAGAAAAAAAGGGTAATTGATCCTCCTTTTTTTTTCATGTATGCTAAATTTACCATGCACACGAAGCCATTAATTGGGGCAATTGTAAAAGGTTGGCAGACAAGTTTGAGAGAATCTGTTCAGCTTTGAAGGCTGCATCTCTGTGTGAATGATGGCAGACATTAAAGTTTTACCTAGTTTAGTCCTTCCTACCTCTCAATTGTCAAGCTACATGCTTGCCTGACATAAATCACTAATGACTTTTGATATTCCTTTATCATTTTGCATAGTACTTTTAACTGAAACCAGGTTGCATTGGAGATAATAATGTTTCTCTTGCTTTCATGTTTTTTAATGGCCTTTTTATTGGAACTGATATGGAATTATATATTTATTCCAGCTACAAAGTTTTGTAGAAAAAAAGCAGTCCTCATAAGGTACAAATTATTTTCAGTTCCCATATATTGCTAATCATTCTATTTTATTTACTGTGTACTGTTTAGTATTATTTTTCACTTTGATAATTTTGATTATAATTTATTGTCACACCAATAAAACTATTTAACAACTACTACGTGACCAAAAATTATGATCCAGCAATCTTCTTATGGACCCTTGAAACAAATAAGAAGAAGAAATGCTACGTGTAATCATGTCTTTAGTTCTTTTATTTCTTTCCGTGAAATCCAAGTTATATATTTTATTTTAGCTGACTGTGCTACCCATCCAAATTGATACTTTACAACATGATGATATGTAAGCCATGTGTTCCTTCTTTGATGACACTGCCACGCTCATTCTTGCACTGTTTGGTTTCAATACCATGGATAGATTCATGTTTTTTTTTTTATAAATAAATTTTTTATATCTATTATCATCCTTAATTGATTTTTCAATTCTGGATAACAGGTGAAAGTCATTTTCTTCTCAGAAACAGGGGAGCGTACAGCTCCATTCGTGCGTCAAGCTACCCTAAATTATTGGCCATATGTTGCTTTCGCATTTTTGCCATGGCGAGAAGAGGAATCTTCCTTTTGGTGGAATGTGTACGTGTACTTTCTTTCTTTTCTTTTTTGGGACAACGTATGGGAGTGCTTTTTTTTTCCCCTTCCTTTTTTTAAAAAAAGAAAAAGAAAAGGAAAGATTAATATCTTAAATGTTCTTACAAGCTTCCTTCGGAATAATTTCTTAGTTTTGTGAATAATCTTGTCTTTTTCTTTTTTTTTTTGATTGGCACCGGGTTGTCCAGATCAAAGCCCGACTAATCCCCAAATAATCTTATCATTTAACCAGAAATAAATCTTAGAATAGTATTAGAACTGTTTTAAATTATTCCTTTCTTCATCAAATAGAAGCAGTTATCATTATTCTTTTTTGTATTGGCTTGAAGGATTGATGATAAATGGGGAATTCTTTTTGCAGCAAAACTAGATTGTTTTTGCAGTCACAGCTATCTACTTCATGTTAACTTCTACTTTGAGTTGGAAAGCTGTTATATCTTGGATAAGTGTAGTTGTGAAATTTCTTTATTTATTGCAGTAGTAGGGGGTAGAAAACATCTGTCGTCATGTTACCCATGACAATAACAAAGTGTTATGTGTGAACAAACAAAATCCTACTTACGTTATGATGGAAGAAGAATGACAAGCTCAAATTTGATAGTGAAAAAGTTTTTCTTGCCTCACATGGAAAGACTTTCACGAATTGTTTCTTTCAACGACATCTTTCTAAATTTCAGCATGCAGTTGTATCCTTAAAGGGGATAACAATTTTCATTTCAGTATTATATGAAATATAAGGCATTTGAATGTTCAGGATGTTTCCCTATAGCCCTACCCAGCCCTTGTATGTATTTTGAGCCAAGTCCTATCATAAGATCTGGGGTTCTGGAAGAGGCTTGACAGTTAGGTCCAATATATCTACTAGAGTCCATGCTATACAGCTTTAAAGCTGCCAGGGTCTAATTATTCATATTTCAAATCCTTTGAAAAATCTTGTGCAAACTTTTAAAATTTTCATTTCATTCTTCAGTTTTGTAATCTCAATTAGGATCACAAATGTTCTGTATCATTTCATGCTTTTGTTGGCATCTCCTTAAATTTCTATGTGAAGATTATGAAATCAACCTCCAAGCATATTTGTTTATTCTATTTTGCTTTTGACTATTAAATTACAGAATAAGTTTTTAGATGAAAATCAAGTGAGGAAAATTCTTTTCATCAGTGTTGTTGAATACATGTCATGTTTTGTTATATCACTTTTGTGCATTGTCTATCATGTCTCATGTCCCATGTCATATCATGTATAATAAAATACATTAACATATATGACTACAGATTATGGGTAAGAGAAGTTAGAGGCAATCGGTCATTGACCTCTAGGAAGATGGCGGGCACTTAAATGGCCCGAGATCATCGGAGGTGGAAGAGGAGAAGACCAAGGTAGGCTTAGAGAGGAAAGGGGTGGCAATGAGAGACCTTGAACACTTTGTATATGTTGTATGATTCTTGTTGCTCTTGTTATGATTGTGGTTGCACTTATGATGCCATTATATAGACTCTAGGAGTATTGGAGCCCAAGCAACGTCAAGACAGGTGGCGAGTTCTCCTCAACTTGACAGGAGGGTGCTATCAGCCCTACTAGCTATGTATTATGATTCAGGTCATTAGGAAGGTTGCATCATACAAGCTGCAGGTGTAGGTATGATATCTTGAGAGGCGTATCGTCTATGCAATAGGTATAAGTGTAACGTTAACGCCCCTTTTCTCTAAGCTAGGTCAAGGTGGAACTGTCACTGTAGGGAGACAGTTACACAACCTTGATGATCCCGAGGTTCTAGCCTCCAATCCACAATCCTCCAATGATCCCAAGTGGGAGTGCTTAGGTCCTGCTCCCAACGTAGGCAGCTAAGGGGGTGAGTGCATGGGTGAGCCAATGGCTTATCTTGAACAGCCAAGTAAACATAGGTGAGTCAAGGGTCCAACTATGTTGCTGGGGTGAGTGTATAGAGAATATATTTCTTATGAGTCATGAAGGGCCATGGAGAGCTCTAAGTAAGTTGTGGTCTTGTTTTCATACTTGGTAGTGTGCAAGCCCGTGCTTAGGCTAGGCATACAACCCCAACTCACCGTGATGCCTCAAGGGTCTGCCACGTGGATGTGTGATGGTGATGACGTGAAGCCCGTAGGGCTCGCCACGTGCCAAGCATGATATAGACACCCACATAGATAAATAAATAAAAAGTACTTTCATATGATACATAAATATATTGAAAAAATGAAGTACTAAAGCATATAACCAATGACATGAAAAATAATCTCTAAAAACTTACAAATTCGACAAAAAGGTAAATATGCATTCATTAGAAACCCAAATATCCAACTAATAAGAAATTGGAAAGAAAATTCAAAATTTAATATAACAGAAGGATTAATGAGATTTCATTGCAAATATAAAAATAATACTAGATTTTTGTTTTTCAATTGAGCCAACTTCTTGGTCGCTAGTTTGTTTGGTTCTCAGTTTGCAGCCAAAGACTTTCTTTAGGACTTGGATGATGAGTATAGCTTAAATATACTTGTTATGAGGTATATGGTCATAGTCCAAACAAGCCTTTTGGCCCAAATCTTGGGTCTCAACCCAAATCCAAATGGTCTGTGTGTGTAAGCTCTTTGTTTCTTTCACCTTAATTAGATTCATGATAGTTGTACAATTTTTTTTGTAGCGAAGGGAGTATGAGAGTCATTTTTGCTTAAGGGTTTATTTGGATTTGGATCTCCTTGGTATGGGGTTTTTTGATAATATGGTTTTGGATTGTTCAACGTGTGCCGGCAATGGCAATTGACATTGCGAAATGCTGTTAATAGGGCTAAAGGTGAAAGAGAAGGTATTGATAGCTAATCAAGAAATACATGTTAAATTGTGATACAATATGAAATTGATACAATGCAAAACGTATCTCACGATTCAATCTACCAACATATGAATCCGCAATACATATATTTTTCATAACGATTCTGACAACACTACTTTTCATATTTAATTGTCATGCCTTTTCTGAAATTTTCTTTTTCTTTTTCTACTTTTTTGTTCCTTTTTTCTGGAAGGCATCTATTTTTTTTGTTCCTCCTGAAATAGTTCAGAGAAGAATCGACGGTTCTTTTTTCGTCTTTTTTGTCAATCATGCATTAGTCTAATGGGCTTATTGGTTAGAAAGATTGGTTACTCTAACTAACATACTAGACTGTACTTCTTTTTTGGGAGACTAATTTTGGTTCCCTTTCCCCTTCCAATCTTTGGAAACTTGATCATGAAACGCCACCTTAAAAAATGTTGTGCTTCATAATTTTTTTTTTTCCAAAATAGGGTATGATCTTGATAGTGTTCTTATTATTAACAATAGGTTTGGAGTGGAATCTGCATCTGCAATTGTATTTTTAAAAGAACATGGTGTTAAACCTGTTGTGTACCATGGTATGTCACTCTCTTTTTATTTCGTTTCATAGTATTTCTTGGTACTCTTTGTAACATAAATAATGTGTACAGAACAAGTTAACATAAATAATGTGTACATAACAAGCTAACTAGTGCACATTATTTGCAGGACCTGCCAACAATTCATGTTTTGTAGGTATAATGGAACAAAATAAACATCAAGGTAATGCTGTTTGTTTGTACTTTATCAAGTTTTATAATCTAGGGCCTTGACACTATAACAAAATTTGCCCTGTCATATTACTTGAGTGAGTGCAACCATTGTGTAAATGGCTTGTTACAATGATTCTAATGTGCAAGTAAACCTCATGTGATTGAGAAGTACAAATTGTTAGCTTCATGATTATTTGGAGGTTTTTACTGTCATCAGTCTTTGTATCCATTGACTAGAGTCCTTTATGTAGTTATTTTCTTCAGCAAAAGGGGAAAAAATCTAGATTATATTTTGATATTATTTTCTGGGAACTGTACCAAACATTTCTCTGTTCTTGAAACATTGGATCAACTAATCTGACTATGAAGTGTTTCCTCGGTACTTGTTTTCCTATGTAGAAATCTTCCTTGATAATTTCCTTCACATGAATTGAATTGTAGAGAACTTGTTAGGTTATGATTTTGTTTTCATTTGATAGCATGTTGTCTTGCAACCTTTTTTCCGTATTGTGTAAATTTGTGGTAGAATCTTTTGTCAAATGTGGCCCTCCTTATAAAGTAATCCTTTTTCTTTAGATTTTACGAGAGTAAAGCCTGCAGAGTGTCCACCACTTTTCCCACATAGTAGAATAAATGACTTAGCAATGCATCCTACAAAGTTGCTTGTGAGGGATCGTCTTATGTCTGCATTTGAGAGTTACTGGGAAACTGACTAGGTTGTGTTTATTGGTTCCAATGGGCTGTGCTATTATACAAATATTATTATAGATATCCTTTAGCTGATTTAGTTTACTTCTGTGATCTACTAAATGCTTGTAAGTTGTTCTATGTTGAGATTATGGTTATCATGGACGTGAGATTAGACAAAGCATTCTTTGTCCCATGAAGCAAGGCATAAATACAACCTTTTTAATATATTAAACTATAAAAACACGAATGATAAACGATAAATAAAAGGAAAGAACAAAACACATGATAGTCTCATCAAAATTTCCAATCCGCATTCTGACATAGGGTTGCAAAGGAGTCAGTTTCGTGTTGCTTTAATCCCTTTACATATATGTAAATTCTCGGCTTTAGTCAAAATATGTTAGCTTCCTTAAATAAAAAAAAATAATAATGCTACAATATACCATAAAAAAGTTTGAAAATGAATATACTAGTTAAAACAATGAGAAAGTCACAGATTTGTTAGCAGAAATATCGACATTTTTGGTGTAACGCCCTCAAAAAAAAAAAAAAAATACATAAAACCCATCATTTTAGACATGCATTGATATAAAATAAATCAACCATTTCTATTTATCAGAGTAGTCCTTACAATAGTATTACATGTTAATAACAAAAGCAAATGCCATATGGGCTTATAGCTTTCCAAGTCAACACTTGGTTACACAAAAGAAGAGTACTAACTCTATACAAAAGAAGCCCTTGGCTTGATATACATGTAATACAAACAAAATAATCAAAAAGAGTCTTCGACTCCCATCCTCGTCCAAGCTATGTCCTTGGAGGTGGCATGCTACCTGTACCTGAAAATGATGTTCCCATATAGGGTGAGCCACAACCCAGTAGAAATACACTAAACCAACTATGAATAACGACTAAAAGATTAGCAGTTGATAGATTGCCAACACTGAAACGTCCACTTATATCACATTACAATTACTTGACTTACATGCCTATGTTACTTTTCATTCTCTATTTTTATTTAATAGATAAGCGTATTAGCTATATCAACACATCAACAGATAGGTATAAGAGCTATATTACATTACCATAGATAAGCATATGAGCTGTATCTACACTTCTCAAAGATAAGCATATGAGCTGTATCTTCACTTCTCTAGACAAGCATATGAGCTGTATCTACGGAGTTCATCTCCCATCTCCTCCCAACACTATCCGGTTTAGAGGTCCATCCCCTATCTTCCCCTAAACCGCGGAGTACATCCCCCATCTCCTCCTCTACACACAAGGCATATGAACACATAGGTTCTATACACAATCAATCAATACATAAAGTTAATGTATTCTATTCACCGTCATACTCTATGACACATTCCATTGATCAGTTTTCGTTTGCCTAATCATCATGCATTGTCTACAACAATCAAGACTATCCTCCACCGATAGCCCAAAGCAGTTATTTCTAAACAGGAAATAAATGCACAAAATGGATATTATATCAACATTTCAATTAGGTGAGCGATAAATGATTCAACTACACCCTTTAATCCCATACCTTCCCAATCTCCACATTCTCAATTCAATTCCTCATTTCTCGCAATTAATTAATCAATGTAATTAGGGTATTTTCCATAATTAACATTACAACCCTTTGGATTCCATTTTCATCGATGATCCGACGTTAATGCCATTTCTTCATCCCAAACATACATATAGGTTTTGTATATTTAAAAACCCCAACTTGTGTAAAATTACACAAAGGCCCAAACTTTCTCAAACTTACCCAACCACCCCCAACATATCAAAATGCTAAAATTTAAAGACAAACCTCATAAAGAGGAGTAGGATATCCCTACCTTGAAGTTAGAGCTCAAACGGAGAAGAGACCAAAACCAAAGTGCTCCAAATTCCAAACTTTTCGGATCAAAATGATGCCCTCGACGATCAACACAACTTTTACAAAGGCCGAAGGGAAGGAGGACACTCTAACTAGATCAAACCCTAGAGAGAAAGGAGTTTCTAGAGAGAGAGAGGCTCTCAAAATATCTTTTGGAAAGTAAGAGAGAGAGGAAGTGTAGAAAATGATTCAAAAAATGCCCAGTTTCCCTCTGTTATACGACATTCCCGCTCGAGCAGAAAACACAACGCTCGAGCGTCAAGAACAAAAACTATGGCACGCTCGAGCACAAGAAGGCCCGTTCGAGCTCCAAGAAACAAGAATAAAGTACATCTGCTCGAGCGCGAAAACCAGTCCGCTCGAGCGTATATTTCCCCCTCCCATAACTCACACCAAAGATGTACTACCCGCTCGAGCGCCAACAAGCCCGCTCGAGCACGACCCGCTCGAGCGTAGAAAACACACCTGCAGAAGTTTTGCAGGGACACAAAATACTGGAAGTGTGTAAAACCCGCTCGAGCGCCAAATGGCCCGCTCGAGCGTACGACTAAAAACCAAACTCCGCTCGAGCGCATAATTACCCGCTCGAGCGTAACACCAAAAACCTGGGCAACTAGATTTGAGACTTAGGCTCAACCAACCTGTAACCCACCTGCCCAAAACATCCTAAAACTCACACATGTGGAATCAAAGGATAACAACAAGGTATACAACCACCAACTCCACGGAACCAACGTCCGGAATACAACAAATACAGAAAGGGAATACCGGGATCGCTATATTTGGGTTGGCTTAAAACATGTTCCCTGGGAGGGAGGGAGCACAAGTAAAAAAGGTAGAAATGTTAATGAATCTCAGTGCAACTATCAGGGTTTTTGATCCCCACTTGTGAATGTTTGAACCTTAACGTTGTGCATATTGTGTTGTATTTGAAGGCAGTGGTGTTATAAAAATTTTGAGGTTGGAGTGCATGAATTAAAAAGTGGGTGATTGTTTTAGTGATTCCTTTAATTAATTGGAGTTTGGCGATTGTTTTAGGGAATTCCTTGTTGGTTTTTTGGATGAACTAATTTTAGGTTGAGTTTGATATATATATTTATTTTCTATTTTAAAAAAGGTGGTAGCCTTGCGCTGATAAAGATGGTTGTTATGTGCAACAAAGACTTGTAGATGCAACAGTAAGTAAAAGTGATATGATCACCATAAATGAAAATGTTAGGAGGGGAAGATCTAAATTGACATGTGATGTTGTAGTAAAAAATCATTTGAATTTATTAAATTTAATTTGTCCTATAGCCTTTAAGATGTGCAAAAAAGTATAGAGGTGATGTGACCGAAAAAAGATAAAAAAAAAAAAAATGCTATTGTAGGGGATGCCAAACAACCCCATTTGGTGACATCTTTGTTGTGGAGAGAATTTGGAGATGGCCTATCTAGCTCGAGACAAATAGCAATTGATAGAGGGGTTGTTGTTAGTGATATGTGAGAAGGGAGAGGGATCAAATCTATTGGGACTTTTGGGCCTTATTTTAGTCTTGTTTGACGTGGCTTGGGCCTTCCTTTCAAATGTTTGGGACCTTTTGCTTTCTTGGAGGGTAGCTAGAGTTGAAAAGAGAAAAAAGAGGCGATTGGCAGCTAGGACCTCCCATTTTATTTTGGAGCATCTGGATGGAGCTTAATAGAAGAAGTTTTGATGGTGTTACGAGTCTTAAGGCTTTCATTTTTGCTTTAAAGAGTAGAATTCTAACCATCTTTTACAATTGGATCTTGAGGGGTGTTGAGCCTTCATTGAATCCTTTTTTGAATTTTGTTGACAATTTTGAATATATTGATGGATAGGAGTTGTTTTTTATTGGGATATATTTACATATACATGTATAACACAAACCCAATTATACATTCTAAGATTTTGTGAAACAAACTGTAATACATTGGTTTATTCTCCGTTCCTTATTTTTAGAGCTTCCACAATTGAGAAGTGTGATGTCCATGGAGCTGGGTTGTGATGCCTGTGGCTATTCTCGTGCTGGAAATGAAACAACAATTTGGTACTGTGTTATTCTAGCAGGAAGATCAAGCCCAGAACTCAACAAAATGCGTGCAGTGAGTTTGTTTGCCTTGCTTGTTATGTTAAATTAAATCCCCACTTGGTAGTTATTTCCTAGAAATGATTTGGCTACTTTGATGGGAAATCATTGTCTAGTGATGCCATTTGATTTTTCTAAACTTTGAACACAAATCTTTATAAATTAAAATAGAGTACTACCTAATAAAGAATAGAAAAGGTAACTTAAGGAAAATAGTAGAGAAGATGATTAGAAAGAAAACACAGAATGTGAAAGAACTTTATTTGTTGAATCCTGGCAAAGATCCTGATGTTCATTTGAAGTTATGACACGCAAAGTGTACTCATTCAAAATTTGACATTGAATATAACAGAAAGATTCATGTATGCATGCCCAAATGCTAGTATATTCTTCTAGTTTACTAAATGGAGTACATTACTATGATAAAGACTCTACGCAGGATCCAAGAAGCACTGTCCACAGTTGATAACGATCAGCCGTCGTCACTAGCGGTTGTTGCATTGAAGGAAAAGCAGTTGACATTTACCTGGCTTGATGAGGAAGCCCAACAAGTAAGTGTCATCTTTTGTTTGTCTGGCATGTCAATGTTTTCCAAGTTTAGTTGTAGTTGAATTCACATTTGTAGTAGTGAATGGATTAATTAATTTGAGGGTCATGTTTGTGATGCTGTATGTATGGTACTTGGTAGCAATTTATTCTGAAATTTAATCTCTTTGTCGAACTTAGTTGGGATCACTAATGGCATTGGAAGATTTTTTCCAAAGTGCCTGTATCTTAATCCAAATGGTGGCCTAAGTTGGAAAAGGTGGTCAGTGATTATTGCTGTTATAAATTCTGACAGTGTTATACTGCCATAAAATGATGTGAAATTATTTACATTACAAATCATTCAATCTAATAGTAGGATAAATTATGAAACATTAAATGCTAAAACCACATGTGACCTTTGGCCTGAAAATGCAGGGTATCAAAAAACATCGTCACAACTTCCTTATGCACTATACTCTCATGTTGTAAGCAGCTGATAATTTCTACTTGAAACTTTTGGAAATGTCCAAGAATCTGATTGCATTCATAAACCTTTTGACATCTGAATATGGTTTTTTGAGAAGATTATAGAGGCTTGTCACTGATTTGGAATTTTAAGATATAATTCTCATTTTTATGGCTCTTCTTTTCCTTTCGTTAAAAAAAATAAAATTTCTAATACTTTGTAATAATCTTTCAAAATATGTGTTATTAATCTTAGAAAGTTATTGTATGATTTGAGCCACAAATCCTACAATATGTCATGTTTATACAAATATATTGTGTATTTAAAATATGTATTGAGGCTAGCTTCGAGGCGAGGCTAAGGTAAAATGCATTGAGTTTTTTTTATTATTTTTTGGCGAAACTCTTCAAAGACTTGCACATCACAGTTTGAGGCGTGCAACACATGTGCACCTTGTACTCCTTCTGCACATAAATGTGAGGAGTTGTGTTACATGGACTCTTCTATTTCCCCCACAGTACTCGTGTCCACTGGATATGACATTGGTAAGGGTGTGAGATATGTGTCCGAAACTTGTACCCAATTTAGGCACTCAGATGCTTTAATTTGTGACAATACATGAATAAGAAGAAACTCACATTTATTAGTAAAGTAATATTTTAGCCTCTCACATGAATTAGATATAGAAATTTCATATTTTTCCTATTCTTATTTAATTTCTAGTATATTTCTACACAATTTACCACATCTCATCTGAGAATATTATATAAAATATAATATATATATATATATATATATATATATCTATATGTGCATATCACGTGTCCCAATGCCCATATCTAATTTTGGATACGTATCCCAAGATTTAAATTTATGAAGGTCTGATGTTTGGATACACACTTGCACCCGAGTGTATGTCAGTCCCATGTAACAATACGTATATGGCGAGCTTGTCTTGGGTTGTTGTTAAGCTTATTATAATACCTAGTTTTTTTTTCTTTTCTTCTAATACCTAGTTTATATTTAAACATAAAAAAGAAGAGTCTTCTGTAACCATCATATTCTAATATCTAGTTTATGTTTAAACATAAAAAATAAGAACCTCTTCTATAACCATCATATTCCATGGAAAAAACCTAGAAAAATATAAAGCAAAGACTCAAGAAAGCAGTTCAATAGCTGAAACTAAGAATCTCAAGTTCATCTTCGATGAGGGCAAGTTTCCTATTCTGTAATGAAATGTTCAACGCCTTGAGGAGAAAAGTATTTATACATTTATATTTAATTTTGAATAAAATTAAAATTAATATGTAATAATTGGGCGTTGTTTTTTTTTATTTAGTTTTAAATAACTTTTTCTCACTAAATATAAAAATTTGAAATTTGAAATGCATGTGTTGATGCCTTGAGACTTGCGCATTCACATTTAAAGGCTTTGGTATATACATATTTAGCCATGGCCTGTCTAGTGCAAAGCATGTACACCTCAATTGTTTGGTGTAGTAGATTATGTTCTCCGTGTGAGACATGGCCAATTAAAAGTATTCATCATCGTTATCCCATATGAGTTCAAAACCAACTTTTGGAACTCAAAATTGTTTTGTTTTTTGTCTTTAGCGATTTTTTTTCTTCATATTTTAGTTTTTATTTTTTATTGTTTTTAGATCTGCTTAATTAGACGCACTTAAAATTTAAAATATTTGAAAAAAATCTAAAAAATGTTAAAAGACAATTTCATATTTTTTTTTACAAATATTTTATTTTTTAAGTACATCTAGATTAGGTACATCTAAAAAGTAAAAGATAAAATAAAATAAAATATGAAAAAAGTTCACTAAAGACCCCCCCTCCCCCTCAAATTTTTTTTTTTTAGAAAAACAAAAGACTCAAAAGCTATTTATAAATTAAACCAAAGAAGGTGAAAGTTTTTCATTATGCTTCTTGGTCATTTTAAAAACTTCGGAGGTTATCTTTGACAAAAAAAATTGTACTTTTGTCAGTTGATTCTATTCTGTGGATCGAGCTATATGTACAGGGAAATGTGGTTCATCTCAAAGAATGAAATACAAAGAACTGTAGGAAGTACATAGAATGAATTTTTGTGATCAAGCCATATGTACAAAGAATGTGATTCCTCTCCAGCTATACAAACAATACTATTCTGTAGGTCAAGCTATGTAGTGTAGGAAATAGAATGTGATTCCTCTCATAGAAGGTGTTATATAATAAAAATAAACTAAAGTTCACCAGGTTAGGTTTATGAGGCATGTATTGCAATGGTGAAAATTATTCATAAACTCCAATAGTAATTGTGTAAGACATCATTACAGCTACATGGTACATATGATTAGAGGTTGTTTGCTTCTGCTTTATTCAGTTGAAGGAATGATCTTTCCATCTCTCTAGTGTTATTCCTAGAACCATTTGGAGGTTTTTTTTTTTTTCTTTTTTATGTAGAAGTATGTGTGCTTACTACTATGGATTATACTATTCTAATTAATAATGATCATGATGGACTAGTTTACACTGGAACATTTAACAAATGATCTTTTGCAACTGTATTAGTCACTAAATTTCTCTTCTTCTCCAGCGATATGTTTTTGTTCCACACTCAAATAGAGAACAGCTATGAAACATGTGGACCTAGGAGGGATATAACTGATATACCACAGTTAATTATTGTACGTTACAAAAGGAATGCTACAAAAGATAGTATTAAAATTGAGGGAAAAAAGCCATAAAAGATGTTGGAGGCATTTCTGAATGACGATGTGGATCCTGCATCACAACTTGTTGCGAGGTACAACGGTTTCGAAGAAAGTTCAGAGGTGTGGCCTTCTATCTGTTGTGAGATGGATTTTACTACATGGTTTAATTATTGAGATATATTTCACTCTGTGTTGAGCAGTTAACGCAAATGCAACATTCTTTGTGATTTAGTGTACCTTTTCACGTTGAGTTGTTTCTATTTATTTGGTTGGCAGATCATCAAGTGGATCTCTCAAATAATCGAAGATGGTGACTCTAGGGAGCTCCCCTTTTTTGTAAGTTAGCATAGACAAACTTTTTTTTAGAATTAAGCTTCCTTTTGGTGCTTGAATGGATGAATTTGTGTATTTTGCTGAGGGATTTAATTACCTTCACTCCATTATTGATGCCTAAGAAGTACGAACATGTGACATGACATTGACACACCGACATGTAAATTTTCAAAATATGTAGGACACGACACGTTGGGGACTTCTGCAAAATATATAATTTATTTATGTATTTATCAAATGTAGGTCATAAATAAGGATAAATAATTATTATGTCTTATGTATAAATATTTAAGTAAAATATATTCATTTTTGAAGTATAAAGGAGGAGAATATGTATAAATTTACTTAATTTTTGTTGTATCATTGGATTCCAAGTTATTTTTTCAAACTTGTAATATGTTTCATGTATGTCTAAGTGTTGGAAAGTGTCCAGCTGTGAAGCACGGGTACTCCGAAAATATTGCCATAGTCATAATGGGTATTGGTACGCGTACCGTTAGGTTTGCATGCGTATCAGGTACACGAAATACGTACCGGGTAGTTTTTATACATTTTTTGGCAGGTGGGTACTTCATAGGTACATGATGGGTACATCGGGGATACACCAAGCTATGGGACATTGACAGTGATACATTTAATTTATTAGAGAGTTGTGATTTACTTGAAATTGCAAATCTTTTACTTGATGTGTCAAAGATGAAAGATGTATTATTCAATAATGAAGTTGATGGAAGTGAAAATTGATTTTTCAACTTTCCAAAATTTTCTAGTTTGCTTTTGGAATGAAACTTAGTTTTGTAATTTTTCTTATTTAATGGCATTAAAATAGCATATGGACTTTGCTTTGATATTGGTATTGTTGAACTGTGATTTCTCTTTTGGTTTTGTAATTTTCTTTTTAGTTTTGGTATTGAACTTTGATTTGTAGGTTGAATCTCAAACAATAAACTATGAAAAATAAAAAATTTGTTGACGTACCACAACTGTACCCGTATCATTTGTTTTTTTTGGAAAGGTTTTGCCGTATTAGCGTACTCGTACCAGTATCCATACCTACATCCGTGCTACATAGGTATTTGATGCGTGTCGGACATGGCACGTTACGTTCTTAGAAGTGTCCATGCTTCTTGATGTATACACTCTGGAGCTTAGAGTTGCATCTCTTTCATACAAGATGTTGCCTACTAAAACCTTTTCTGTTTTGTCTCATCGTAAAGAGCAAAAACTCCTGCACTTGTTCCTGAAGATGCAGATCCTATTTGGTCAGTAGGTGCCAAAACCATTCTATCCAAAGGGACAGGAATGAAATAGAGAATTGGTAGTATCATGAATGGAATCCACAATCGCTTGGGAGATCCAAGGATTGGCCCAGTCTTGCTCTTGGGAGCATTGATGTCTTTTGGTGGCATCTGGCTATGAAGGAGCCAATCAACTCATCCAAGTCAATCAAACAATCAAACTCAACCGAGCAAAAAAGCAAGTCATGGCAGATTGTGCTCCTGGGAGCATTGTTATTGTTATTTTTTGTTCCAGCTATTATCTTCATCTCCAATCCAATGTAATTTCATTGATATTCTTCTGACTCATGATTAGTCCTTTCTTTTATTTCCCTTTTCTACTTTTCAGCATCATTGTTTTCCTTCTAATTATTTTTTATATATGTGATGTCTTGGCTGCATAATATTTTACTTGATTAATTTAGTAACTTATATTAATATTTTGTTAGGATTAGTCCACTCATGTGATATATGTTGTCCCATGCATTTGTTAGATTAGTTTAAGCATGTATTTGGGTTAGGATAGTAGAGTCTGAACCTATTGGGAAACCCAATGTGTGGGTTTTGGTTACCTAATTTTATGGAACTAGGTTTTTTGTGAATAGACTATTCTAAATAGTCACAGAGACTATGTTTTGGTGAGATTAAGAGGAGGATAAAATAGCAATGTAAGGGGTGACAAAAAATACCGATAAGGCACTAGAGTGATCAATGGCTCAACTACTCTTGAGCATGGGATTCTAGCAGTGATATGGGTTTTGAGCGTTTTAACCATCTCACATGTATTATCTATTTTTTATTCATAGTTGAATCTCTCTCCCGTGGATGTTGGCAATTGGTGCCGAACCACAAAATCTGTGTCTAATTGTTGTTCTCTTTGGTGTGTGCGTTGTGTGCTTCCATTCACATTGGTGGGATGTGGTATAAATCCCATTCACAACATATTCTTCAAAGTTCCCCTTCATTTAGTTCAAATGCAGTCATATATACCTTATGGGTAGCAACCTTTTTTGTTTTGTTTTGTTTTTTAATTTAATTTTATTTTCTTGACGGCCATGTTATTGCCTATTCATTGTCATTTTATTTCTGCCCCTAACAGATTATTGTACTGAGTGATAGCTTTGAGCATATCTCTAAATCATCTCATTAAACAATTCACATTTTCCAGCTTTGCAATTTCTAGACTTGTCATTCTCATTGAAAAAGAAACACCCCACCCCACCCCAAACTTACATACACTAAAAAAAAAAAAAACCCTAAAGAAGGATTTTTCTGTCTCCCTCACCACGAATCATTCTTGTATGATTGTTCCTTCGTTGGGAATCTATTGCTTGCTAGTTGAACTTGTTTCCCTCACCACCAATCATTCCTGTATTATTGTGTTCCTTAATTGACGTTCTCTGTGACGCCCTCAAAATAATACATATAAACCAATCATTTTTGATACCCATAGACATAAGAGAAATAAACATATATTCATTTATTAGAGTTTTCATTACAAAAAGTATTACATGTTGACAACAAAAGTAAATGCCTTACGGGCTTACAACTTTCCAAGTCAACACTTGGTTACAACAAAAGAGAGTTCTAACTCTTTACATAAAAAGCCCTTGGCTTGATTTACACGTAATACAAAAAGATAATCGCAGAAATAAGCCTTCAGCTTCTAAACCTCCCAAGCTACAACCTTGGAGGCGGCATATTACCGGTACCTGAAAATGATATCCCATATAGTGTAACAACCCTCATTTTAACTTAGTCACACTTGCATACATTTATGGATGATCTTGTTTTAATATGTGCATTTGCAAATCTTGTCTTGTTTTGCTTGAATGATTGCTTGCATGCTTTGTTCTCGTCTGATGCGATGCTGAGGTCATTTTAAGCCTAGACACCTTCGAGACCTTTGTCACTTAGAACTATCTTGGAACCCCGTTGGTTGACCTCCATCTTCACCCTGGCATATTGGCCGAGATGTCACCATCTAGGCCGAGGTGCGCGTCGCCTAGGCCGAGATGTGCATCATCTGGGTCGAGATGTTAATATCTAGGCGTCCTAGATCCTTGATCCTTGCATGAGTGATTTTGTTCCTGGAACGGTATGACCTAGACCGAGGTGTGGCACATCTAGGCCAAGGTGCAGCACAGCTTAGTCAAGTGTTGTCCTTCCAAGCCGTTGTCATCGTTACCCTGCTTATCGAAGCTTTGCCTTAGCCGAGATCACCACTTGCCGGAGTCTTATTGTTAGCCGATGTTGTTACTTGCCGGTGTGTTCTTGCCGCCTAACTTGTCGAGTACACTTTGTCTTGGTCTTGTCTTGTCATGTCAGTCACCTTTTTGGATAGAGCCAATCAGCCGATGCCACGTGTCCCGGCAGAGGGTTTAAGTCAGTGATTGTCGTAAGGAGCATATCTTTTTGTATCAATCTTGCCTTGTAGAGAGAGAAACTCTAGGAAGAAGAAGGAGAAGTTTGAGCTAGAGAGAGTAAACTTCCAAGCTTGATCGTTGGAGCTTGAGCCGTTAGATTCGAGTTTTGAGGTTAGAATCTTAACCTATTCTTGTTATTCTCATTGATCATCTAGCTGCATTTCACGATCAAACCTGTTCTACCCGCCATTCATCGATTTAAAGTTGGTTTTAGAAAGAGAAAACGGTTTTCTTGTGTTTTTGAAGAAAAGCCTCGTTTGATCCGAAAGTTTGCATTAAGGCTCATGCTTTTGTGATTGTTTTGATAAGATCCTTGAGTGTGGGTACCCAAGTCCATGTTTTCGAAATAATAGCATGAAATTCTCAGCTTTTGTAAAGCAAGTTTTGATCTTTGCGTTCATCTTCTTCATACTCATGTTCTTCATGTTTATCAAGAGGGAAACCTAGATTTTCCCGACTTCGCTTTTGAATGTGGCCATCGAGGCCACACCTCGGCAAGGAGCTGTGGGACCTCGGCCTAGACCTGGTAGTTGCCCAGCGTGTTTTTCCAAAGATAAGAAACTGTGTTTCAATTTGATTGACTTAGTTTTTGAAGATTGCCGAGGTCATTTGCATGTATGCTAGACTTGTTTTGAGTAGTGCATTCAATAGACTTTGCCATGCGTTTGTAGGACTTGGACTTGCCTTGACCCGACGTTTGAAGAACTAGGTGAAGTGGTATTTTTATAAAGCTATGTTATACGTTTGATAAAGACTTTGCTTGCTTTGTTTTGAAAGTATTTGTTAAGCATGAATAATTGTCCCTGTTTGTGTATCAAGTATGATCTTGTCTGATGCCTTCTCGAAGTCCCGCTTGTGCTGGAGTACTCTAAACTTTCGCAGCACCCTTGATTTGTACTCTAGTGTTAAAGGGCTACGGGCATCTCGTTTGAAAGTCCCTTGTGCTGGAGGACTCTAAACTTTCGCAGCACATCTTGTTTTGAAAGTCCCTTGTGCTGGAGGACTCTAAACTTTCGCAGCACCCTTGATTTGCACTCTAGTGTTAAATGGCTACGAGCCTTTGTAACATAGGTCCCTCGTGCTGGAGGACTCTAAACTTTCGCAGCACATCTTGTTTTGAAAGTCCCTTGTGCTAGAGGACTCTAAACTTTAGTAGCACCCTTATTTGAGATGCCTCTCTTGCTTTGTCTTGTTTTGCCACGGACGGTTTGCCGCGTGGATACGTTTGCCAGAATGTTAATATTTGTAATAAGTGACAGAAGTAAGTATCCCTTGAAGCTTGAAGATCTGTTAGATGGACGAGGTCCATTCCTTGTTATATATAAAGTTTTGTCTTGTATTGTTTTGAAAGGACTTCGGCTATTATTCATGCAAACTCCTTTATTATTTATACCATTCACTGAGTATCCAAGCTCACCCTCTCTATATATATGTAGGGGATGAACAAGAAGGCGGTGACGCCTAGATGTGATTCTGGAGCGTATTTTGGGTTTTTGATTATGTCGGCTTAACATGTATTTACGTCAGCAGTCTTGAAAATTATGCTTCTCGATTTGTACTATTTGTATGTTACATACGTCGGCTTGAGAAGCCTTTTGATCAAGGTGTGTGTTTTGCATGATTGTTATGTCGGCAAAGAGGATGTCGACAATCTGGCAGACTGTGTTCTTAGACCTGTAATTCGTACAATTTGTTCATGTCGGCTTGTGGAGCCCTTTGCTAATATGTAAAAAAAAATGTAATTTGTACTTTGCTTTGTTTGTAATTAAGATTATAACCCCTACGTAAATGGTTGCTATCTCTTTTGACTTATGCACAGCTCTTACGGACTAACCTGATTTGTATGTATCGCTTCCGCACTTGTGAGCCCCATATATTTATACTCTGTTGTGTGTGAATTTTGGAAGTTGGCCTTCGGTAATCTCGGATTACTGGCCATCACGGCACTGAACCACTAGGGGCGGTTTGGGGTCGTGACATATAGGGTGAGCCAACGCCTAGTAGAGATATGCTAAACATAATATGAACGATAACTAAAACATTCACACTTGACAAATGTTTAACGCAGATAAACCAATGTACATCATCTCGATAACCAATCAACACTTATCTCCATGTTTCGATCCATTTCCCTTTTATTTGTACAAAATCAATTCTAGACATGGTTCCTTGTCTAATCAAACAACTTAAGTGAGACTACAACTCATATCATCAGCACTTCCATTATTCACAATTTAAAATGAGATTACAACTCATGTTAACATCTCTGCAATCATAAACAATACAAAATGAGACTACAACTCATAATATCAACACTTCGACACCTCAATTCATCTATGTTATGTAAACGTAATTAAGATTTCGAGACTTGCACCCTAGACACTCCGGCCAACTTAGTTATCCATGGAGTCCATCCCCTATCTCCTCCTGAATAGGTTTGGGAGTACATCCCCTATCTCCTTCCAAACCATGGAGTACATCCCATTTCTCCTCCCAAACAATATACATACACAATGTATTTAAACACTTATCATATACAATGATCAACTTAAAGCACATATACAATGTGTTAATCCAACCGTCATATTCAATTGCATATTTCAATTGATTAGTTTTAATTTACCTAATCATCATGCAGTTCTACAACAATCAAGACTATCCTCCACCGATAGCCCAAAGTAGTTATTTCTAAACAGATAATAAATTCATCAAACAGATAAAATATCAACATTTACATAGGTGAGTGATTAATCAATCCAACTACACCGTTCAACCTCATAATTTTCCAATTTCATTATTTCCAAACCAATTTCATATTCCCATAATTAATTTCATTAATTACATAAATGACCCGATTAAACCCAACTAAGGCATATTTTCCCTTTTCTCAACATTGACCCAAAGGTCCAAATATCATCAATAAACATCAATAACCTCATTTTAAGACCCATATACACATGTATAGTTCAAAAGGAACAAAACCCCTCTTTATACATTTCAAGTTTTGAAACCCTAACACCCAAAATTTCCCAACTTCAACATTAAATCAAAATGACTACATGTTTATGTCAAAGGCCATAAATATGAGTAGTTATCCCTACCTCAAATTTCGGAGCTCAAAGGAGAAGAAGAACAAAACTCAAGATGCTCCAAATCAACACTTTTTCAGATCAAAATGTGGCCCACGTCAAGCTCAAGCTTTTTATCAAAAGGAAGATGGTGGGGAGATCACTAGATCTAGCTCAAAATGTAGAGAGAAAGAGTATTCTAGAGTGAGAGGCTCTCAAATTAGGGTTTTTGGAAAGTTAGAGAGAGAGAGAGAGAAGGAAAAATGGTTCAAAATGGCTTCTTCTCGGACTGAAATACAACACAGTCCGCTCGAGCGTCAGACACAGACTCCCGCTCGAGCGTGAAAACGGACGCTCGAGTCTCAAAAGCACACTTCCATCTTTTGCAGACCTGCGAAAAAAATACTGAAGGTTGGAGAATCCCGCTCGAGCGTCAGACTGGCCACTCGAGTGGAGGAGCAAATGCAAAAGGTCCCGCTCAAGTGTGAAAAGTCCCACTCGAGCGGGGAGACCAAAATCTGGGCAGTAGCTATTTGTTTCTAAACACAACCAACCTATTTCAAACCTGCCCAACACATCCCAAAACTCAAATACAAAGAATTAAAGGATGGAGATGCGATGCAGACAACAACAATTAGCCATCGGACCCGAGCCCGGAATACAATTAAACAATGAAGGGAAAACCAGGATCGCTATATTCTCTAATAATTTTCTTTAACAGTTATCCCCCACCATTTTTCAAGGACATATTGATTCATTTGGAAAAGGAAATTGTGTTTCACTTTGTGTTGAACTACTTGGAGGCTGCTGGTGTTATGTGTTATATAGTTCCCAACCTCGAAATCTGAATAATTTTTAGCCCCACTGCCAATATTTCTCCTTTTGGTACCTCTTACTACTAATTACCAAAGTTTTTAAAGGAAAATGCGTAATGTGAGGCATTTTTTCGCTCACGAGGAGAGGCGTAAACCTCAAGGTGTTTGAAGCATTAGAATTTTGAATTTTATATTAAATAGTAAACAAATATTAAAAATTAAATATGATATAAATACTTTTCTCCTTAACGCGTCAAAAAATTTCATTGCAGAGATGGAAGCTTGCCCTCATCAAAGGTAAATCGGCATTTTTAGCTTAAGTTATCGAGCTTTTCACTTCGTAGCAAAAATTTCCTTCTTGGTTGATGTTTCTTACTCGGAAATGCGGTTCTCCACTCCCAAGGAAGAAACCTGTAAGAAACTCGCTACCCATTGGGTAAGAACCTCACACTGAACTGAAGTAGAACCTTTTCAAACATACAAAGCTCATAGAAATGAAACAAAAACAGTTCAAACTTATTTTGCAACTTTTTATTTACACTTATTAAAGTCAATTTACAGTTGACATCAATCTCCAACATTAATTCCTATTTTAACACATAATTACAACTAACGAACATAAATACCAGTGATCTTAATTTTGCTATGCATACATAACTGCCCAATTCACTGCAGTGGGACTTGCATAAGCATTTTGTATGTTAAAATAGTATTTCTTTTATGCATTTTTATTTTCCTCTGCTTTCTATATGTTTGCTCAATCACCATATGAAAATTTCCAGGATGATGAAGATAGACCAAATCAGAGACGCAAGAAGAGAGCGGTGTCAAACCAAGATTGTCCTCCTTCCATCACTGACACAGAACCAAAGGATGCTTACCAGATGCCACTATCAGATTCTGACTCTGAGTAATAGATGGTGTTCAAAGGAATTGGGGTTTGACATTAAGCAAATGAAGCACATGGGGTTCTCGAAGTAAAGATCAAAGTTTTATCTCCATTGTGATTATACTGATTTGCTCACAAGGTGTAACAAGTAACTAGCAAATGGCTACCCAACATATATACATTGATCATTTAGAAATTATACCATGAATTTTGGGAACCTGTTTGAACTGATAGTTTGTCCGTTTTAGTCTCAATGTGTGACTGAATCATATCTTTGTGATAATTTTCGATTATGTTACCTTCAGGAGCTGCTTTACCTTTCTTATCTGGAAAGGGAAGAACATATGTGATTGTGTCACTAAGTTGTAAAATTTTAGTGAAAAATTCTCATTAAGATTATGAGGAGATATGTAAAATTTTAGTAGGTTAATTCCTATAAACGAAAATTTTCAGCAAGTTTAGATTAATATATTGTTCAAAACTTAATGGAGTCTTGAGGTTAATTTCATATTCCTCCATGAGATTTGGCAAGATGATATCTAGCCCCCAAAAGTTTCTGAGTAGGAAGGGTTGGACATGGATGTTTCCATTGAGTCTCGTTAAAATATTAAGGCTGTGTTTAGATCATAGAATTGAAGAAAGAGAAAAAGGTGGGTGAAAATAAGTGAAATGTAGTTATATTTTATGTATATTTTATCGAGTTTTTCATTTTGTCTTTTCTAAATACCACTTAAGTTCATGATCTAAATACAGTTTAAAAAAATAAATATCCTTCTTTCATGATCTTAACCAAAATGTCCACATGTAACAAATTGTTTTTGCATTTGAAATTTTGATTTACTACATTCAATTGAGTAATTTATCTGTTAGGAGGGTCATATGGCATATGCATTGCATGTGCATTGGTAATTCAAAAAAATGTAAAAAATTTTGTTTCGTACTTTAATGATATTCTCTTAAAGCACAAATTAATGAGCATAGGACGAAATAAAACAAAAAAGAAAAAAAAAACACCATTCATAAAAATAGTTTGTACTTGATAGTGAGTGTGATGCCTTTTTTTATCGCAATTTTTTTAGCAACCAATGCTAATTTTGCATTTTATCCCTCTAGTTTAAAATTTTCTATTTGATGTCAATAGACAGTGAAATTTCTTTCTAATCTACAAACAATGAAATATGGTTTTTCATTTTGTAGCACTTAATTTTGGATTTTTAATTTTTAATATGAAATTTCTCTATTCATAGATAACAAAAATTTCATTGTTTGAAAAATAAATAACATTTTCTTCAATATTGCATATTCAATACGAACTCTTACTAAATGGATTTTGATGAGAGTATTCCAAAATTTACTTTCAAAAAATAAAATTTTAAATAAAAAATTAGTATTTAAAAGTTTAAAAAATAAAATTAGCTATTCAGTAATTGGGTTGTATTTGTTGCACGTGTTGTCCTCCTCGGAATAAAACTTGTGGGCTCATTTGTTTTCTTATAAAAAAAATCTTATTATAAGGGATTTATTATAAAAAAATCTCAGCTTTTATTGCTCAAGTCTCGTATTAATTTTTTTTTTATGGATATGAACCAATAGAGGGGTCAGTTTGGTTTGAGTTGATATTAAATTTAGAACATATTTAAATGAATCATGCACTTGAACCAAATAATTAAAATAAACAAGTCTTTAATATTTAAATTTAACACAAGCATAAAATAAATATTGTTTAACACAAGCCAATAGTTGTAAATAGTATAGTGAAGTCCAACTCAAGTTTAAATAAAACCAAAATAAATCAAATCCAGTAACACAACTAATAAAATAAAATTAAGTACTGTAAATTCCAACTCTACCTTCCAGTATTTTCTTCTTCCACTTCCCATTCTTCTTCTGATGCTTCTCAATATTCACGACTGAAAATCAAAATAAATAGTGAGAAATGATTAGTTGCAATCAAGTCCACTAGAATAGACTAATTAGGTAAAAACATGCCGATATGGATTGAATCTTATAATATAAATAAATATATAGATTTGATTATCAGGTTTGTTCGATATTAATAGAACCTAAACCAAAAATTAATCCAATCCTATTGAATTATAGAAATGAAGACTCAAAACAAAACCAACGTATTAAAAAAAAAACCAGACCAACCCAATAATTTCGGTTTGGTTTAGTTTTTTTGATTCTATGATAATCTGTCCATCCCTAAACCAATATGAAGGCAAAAAAGCAGATATATATATATATATATATATCAACAAATTTTATGATGAGAATTAATGAGGGGGATGAGAAAGAAATGATAAGAGACCCAACAGTTGTTTCGTCTCTTGTGAAAGAAAGGATTATCCAGGCAGAATTAAGAAATTTACCGAATGTCGAGGTAGGACACATGTCGCACTTTGTAAAAATCTTCTCCTTCTTCACCATTGACCCTTCGAAGCTTGTTATTGAAATTTTCGCTCCCATCCGTAATTGTAAATTGTTGGAGGGTAGCAATGAATCTCAGTCCCTCTGGAACCATTTCTAGTTCTCGGCAAGAACCAATTTCTAAAGCTGAGAGATTGGGCATGGCTCCTTTTTCCACCTCCCACTCCTTTAAGTGCACCAAAAAAGAGAGATATAGGGTTTTGAGTTGGGGGAAACCATTAGCGGAGCAAACCATTTTGTCCCCCACAAAGGCACCACCTAAAAAGAGATATTGTAGGTTAGGTAGCCTCTCCAATGTTGGCATAGGGTCTTCTTCAAGCTTACATGCCATCAACGATAACTTGATGAGATTGGGACAGAAACCCTGGCAGTACTCTAGTAACTCGGGAATAATATCAGTAATACTCAATCTGTAAAGATGGTGACACCCTAACAGTTGTTTGAGAAGAGTCAACTCTTCTTCTTTTTTCTTTTTTTTTTTGCAAAATTCAACTGATAATGATGTTTTTCGGAGGTGGTCGGCACCGATGCTTAGGTAGTTGATGAAAGCCGCTAAGTCCTGATTGTGTGTCTTGTGGAAAGTTGCATCTTCTAGTTGCCGAAGACTGATCAATTTACACAGATCATTGACGTCACAAGACACTGTGTTAAACCCTTCTAATGTTTCGAGGTTGCTCAACCCATCAAATTTGAATTTGACATTGAAATTCAACGGAATATACAAATGCCTCAATTGTTCCATTCCATGTATGACTATTACTTCACCTGAGTTGAACTTGCATTGTCTTAAATCCACAGTTTGCAAGTGTTTCAACTTGCAGATAGACGAATGCCATTTCGGTATCAAACAACCTCTAAACCTCAAGTACCTCAAGCTAATTAGGTTGCCTATTGATTCGACTGACTTTTCATCAAACTTAAATGCTTCAAGATCCAAATTCCTAAGCAATTTGAAGTACTTCAAATGGGAGTTCGACTCTATTGAAGACTCCTCATTGACACTCCTTGAATTGCAGAACAATATGGATCTTAGATGTTTAGTTGTCTCCAATTCAGGGAGGACAACTCTTTCGACATCCCTATTCAAATGAATTGCAAGTTTGCGTATTTTAGGAGCAGTAGTTGTTGATGTTGTGGTGGAAAAGCAATTAGCTAGATTAGTTTCACGTTGGAGATTAATGATCCCAAGAAAATCATTCATTTTTGCCTTTGATAAACACAGCTCCAACATAAGGTCATGAATGCGGCAATAATTGATCCTTTGAGTATACTCGTCTACTTGTACTTGAACCATGCACCTCTGTGCAAGTGCACCCAAGTAACGTTTTGCCACATCCATTATTGTTTCATCTCCCACTTTATCATCATCTACAATTATACCGTCAGCTATCCACAAGTGATATAGTCTTTTAGCATCTATCCCAGAATCCTCCGGAAAGTGACCAAAATATAGAAAACATGGCTTCAATTGATAAGGCAAGTCATGGTAGCTTAAAGCTAACACCTTTGATACTTCATTGTCATGTTGTATGGGGTCGTCGTTCCATTTATGTGAACGAACATTTTGGCATACAACCTCCCATTCCCTTAGTGTATGCTTTGTTGCCAAAAGTCCACCAAGCACAATGATTGCTAACGGTAAACCAGCACAAAACTTTACCATTTTCCTCCCTATTGCTTCCATATTTGTGTCCAGCACTCCAGAGTCTACAAAAATAACAAAATGCAAATTTTAAAAACAACAACAAATAGATTATTGCCTAGATTCTATAAACCAAACCAAACCAAGCTTTAAGTCCTATCAAAATAGGGTGCCTAGAGTCTATAAAACAACAAAAATGAAAATGCTAATGAATGCATGAGTGAATAAGCAATAAAAAATGAAAATTTGCCGACTTTTTTGAGACCCAAATCAAGTTTTTAAACATGGGCCTTTTATACATATAAAGATAGATAATTCTAAAGCGAGCTTGTAATATGGATTGATTTTTAATTATTTTTTTTTTGCAAAATCAAATCGATTGGTAATTTAAATTTTATTTAAAATTTTTGAACTTCCATATTCTCGAGTATAAAACTCAAATTAGTAGTTGTAAAATTAGTAATCAAACTTGCATAATTCAATTTAACAATCAAATCCATTGAATCATTCTTGTGGCAAAGTTGACCAAAGGTAAGATTTAATCAATTTCAATTTTAAAAAGTTTATTATTTCAGAAACAACTGTAATAGGGATAGTCAACAACATTCTATACACAAACCATATATTTGGAAAATAATCATCCGTTAATTTTAAATAATTTACTACATCAACAAGCTTTTTTGTTTCTATTCAAGGGATAGTTTTTTTTCAACCAATTTTTTGGGGTCCAAAACAGCTGCGTCCTTAACTTTGCCTCAGAGTCAGCACTGTTTACATTGATACTTGAATCTTTTCAATCAAAAGTTCTATATCAACAAAGAAGAAGAAAAAACTCAAATTCATGCATGCATTTGGTGCAAAGAGAGTGATGCTAATATAATGACTCGGATTTTAAATTCACATTGGATTGATGTATAGTGGTGCCCGTCACCTTAAAACTTGTATGGTTGTCGGACTCTTGATGTTGATGGGTTGGCAAGTGAACTTTAAATATTATAATTGAGGACCCTTGGGTGATGTTTGGAACCTTGATTGAAGCCTTAACAAGGTATTTAGATAAGATTAGATAAAAAGCCCCAAATTTGAGCAGTCACTCTTTTGCCCTTTTCTTTTTCCACACTTTGAATTTGGATGTGAGGCTAGAACCATTGGAAATCTTATTTCTGGGACTTCGATTTGGACACAAGAACGACCTAGAACGGAGTCCCGATGAGAGAGTTATACTCATTTGAAGTTTTCATATATGTGCTAGAAGCAGGTCCGCTCGAGCGGAAAAAGCGGAGCTCGAGCGGATTGTGCGAATTCAGCAGCTTAAAAACGTGATTTTAGCTCATTCTTTGCATTTTCCTTTTCCGTCTTCATCCCTTCCACCCTAGGTCCAAAAACCCTAGGGTTTTGACCTCAAATAACTTCCATTTCCCTAGGGACTGGCTAAGATCTCTTACAAAGAAATGAAGAAGGCTTGAAGATCAACATTTTCAACCGATTGGAATTCGGATTGGTGAAGGATTCTTCTCAAAGCTTTCTTTTCTTGCTTGATTCTTGAGGTAGGGGCCTAGTTCTCCTTCAATACTTCCATAAATAGATAGATTTGTGGTATTTTGAGTATATACATATAAAACTCACATTTTTTAGCATATAGTGTACATCATGATTTTGGGGGTTTAGGGTTTGAAGTGTTGGGGGTTCAATTGTTGGGTTAATAAGGTGGATTATGAAACTTAGGTGTTTAATCAATGGGAAGATTGGAATAAAGAGTAGTGGTTTAAGAAGTTTGAATTTTTCTTAACATTCTTGATTTTCTTGAAAACCCTAAGTTGATTCATGATGATAAACAATGATTTTGCCCAAATTGAAAGTAGAATCATAAAATTGGTAGGTTTAATTATATATATACAAGTTTAATTGGATTTTGGAGGTGTTTGAAAATTATGTTAAAAATTAGCGATTGAACCTTTGTTATGGATGTTGTAAATTATGCTATAATGTGAAATGAAGATTGGGAAAATGATTTATTAATGATATGGATGACATGAGCCCTGGGGTGAAAGGATGAAATAAAGGTTTAAGAGTTCACCTTGAACTATCTTGAATTGTGTTGATTATGTTGAATAGTGTTGATTATGTTGAGTTGTGTTGAATAATGTTGAACCAAATTGTGTTGGACTATGATGAATTGTGTTTGAATCATGTTGAATTGTATTGAGTTGAGTTGAGTTGTGTTGGGTGTGTTGAGTTTGAGTTGTGTTGTGTTGCGTCATGTTGAGTTTGAAATGAGTTGGGTTGGGTGGTGTTGTGTTGGTACCCGGGGGGAAGTTAAAAGATGATAAAGAAGTTGTGATAAGATGATGAAGTGAAGATTTAAGAATCTTATTGTATAATTAGAAAGTGATTTTATATCTCAAAACTAAAAGCCCAACTTTATATTTAACTCTAGTTATGAAGTTTTATTTTGGAAAATGAGGATACTTCAATCAATATTAAATTTATGAAATTAAGTCTATGTTGGGTTAAGATGAGTATGAATAATGATAAATGGGAGATTATGAAATATGACGATGTTATATAAAGGAGTTGTATCAAAGAAAATTAAATGTTGGAGATTTAATTTATAACCGTGGGTAGTAATTGATAAGCAATGTGTCTAAAAAAATTGAATTTGAAGACCTGATGATAATATGGAAAAGTAAAGAAATAGTTTGAACCCAAGAATTGTGAACACTTTAAAGATGAATCTTTGCCTCTATGGATGTGTTGTTATATTTTTGTGTGACAAAACAATGAATGATTTAATGGATAATGAAGAAGGTCATGGAACATATTTGTACTTGTTATGTGAATGTAATTTTAATAAATGGTGGATGTATATTGAATTAATGTGTTATGGAAATAATGGAAGATGTGTTGGCATTGTCCACTAATTATAATGATGGATTGTGATGATATCTTGGGGTCCGTTTCCTGCCGTATTTGAGCTGGCAAAGCATGGCGCTTGAGATAGGTTCCGCCTTCCTTCCGGAGTAGTGCCCGGTAAAGCGTGTGGTATGTTGAGGTTCCGCGTTCCTTCCGAATGGTGACCGGTAAAGTGTGAGATTCCGCGTTCCTTCCGGCTTGTGACCGGTAAAGCGTGAGGTTCCGCATTTCTTCCGGCTTGTGACCGGTAAAGCGTGTGAGTCATGGAGATGACTTGTGATTGGATCCGGTATTTGATATGAGATTAATTGAAAGAATGGAAAGTGAAATGGTAATTGGATTAGGGATTGGTGTTGATACACTCAATGGATTGCTTGTGATTAAAATGGAAGATTTTGAGTTTTATTTTGTAAATAATAGAGGAATTGAATTAAAAAGGGATTGTTATTCTTGTGTCATGCTTGTATTCTATTTGGTAATGCAAACGTTAATGTGAGGTAATTGTTGAGCAAGTTGGAGTTAAGTGTCTGAGGATTGTCTTTTTGAACATAAAGGAAATTGGATCTTGACATTATGGAGTTATAGTGATTGGAAATAATATAACGAAAAAAAATGGGGAATATTTTGGGAATTGGTTAATAATTTTTAAATGATGTTGTTTCTTAAACATGTTGGTTTCACAAGGATCTATGGTTTTCTAAAGTTAATGGACGAATTTTAATGGCTGAAGGTTTTTCTTAAAAGTGTTCAAATAGTTTTTGAGAAAATGTACTTTACTTATGATATTTTGAAGTTATAAAACTTCACTCTACTATATGGTATCACCCTGCATGCATGATCATTTCTATCTGTGTGTTAGTTATTGATTAAGAACTATGAGATTCCTACTGGGCATTAGTGCTCAGCCCATTGTTGTTTTACCTTTTTACAGGAAGAAAGTTTGGATTCTTTGATTGAAGAGTTGAGAAATCCATGTGTCTTTTATATGTAATTTCACTGTAGATGTGATGGATCCTGTAATTGTATTTTATTCATTTATAGCTTCACAGTAGGAGATTGGCATGTATTGTTGACATTGTAATTTTCAATGAGAGAGAAAGAACATGTATCATTGTATTCCTATTACTCAAGTGTGATAGATATTTGTATATGTATAAATATATATATATATATATATGGACCTAAATTTACAGGCTTTAGTAATGTTTTCGAGTAATTAAAATTCGGGGTGTGATAGCTAAGGAGCCAAGAAGTGAACTATGGCCACGTTTGAGAATTTGTTATTTTAATTAATTTTTAAATTTTTACAAAAAGACGAACAAAAAAAATAAAAAGAGTGATGTATATAGCGATCCCAGTTTTCCCTTTCTGTATTTGTTGTATTCTGGACGTTGGTTCTGTGGAGTTGGTGGTTGTATACCTTGTAGTTATCCTTTGATTCCACATGTGTGAGTTTTAGGATGTTTTGGGCAGGTGGGTTACAGGTTGGTTGAGCCTAAGTCTCAAATCTAGTTGCCCAGGTTTTTGGTGTTACGCTCGAGCGGGTAATTATGCGCTCGAGCGGAGTTTGGTTTTTAGTCGTACGCTCGAGCGGGCCATTTGGCGCTCGAGCGGGTTTTACACACTTCCAGTATTTCGTGTCCCTGCAAAACTTCTGCAGGTGTGCTTTCTACGCTCGAGCGGGTTTCCTACGCTCGAGTGGGTCGTGCTCGAGCGGGCTTGTTGGCGCTCGAGCGGTAGTACATCTTTGGTGTGAGTTCTGGGAGGGGAAAATATACACTCGAGCGGACAGGTTTTCGCGCTCGAGCAGATGTACTTTATTCTTGTTTCTTGGAGCTCGAGCGGGCCTTCTTGCGCTCGAGCGTAACATAGTTTTTTTTCTTGACGCTCGAGCGTTGTGTTTTCCACTCGAGCGGGAATGTCGTATAACAGAGGGTAGCTGGGCATTTTTTGAATCATTTTCTACATTTCCTCTCTCTCTCTTACTTTCCAAAAGATATTTTGAGAGCCTCTCTCTCTAGAAACTCCCTTCTCTCTAGGGTTTGATCTAGTTAGAATGTCATCCTTCCCTTCGACCTTTGTAAAAGTTGTGTTGATCGTCGAGGGCGTCGTTTTGATCCGAAAGTTTGGAATTTGGAGCACTTTGGTTTTG